GCACTGCCTGGTGCAATGTTTTGGTGTAATAAGAGATGGGATACAACTAGTTAGCCTCATTGATTCTATGGAAAGAAAAATTAACAGGCTTAGATCTATTCATCAACAAGTTGGTACACAGCATGAAATTCATATGGACTCCTTGGAATCAATTAGAATCTATCATCTGCAGGTTCTTAAACAGACCTATTTAAAGATCAGAAAAGCTGAACTCTAAGGCTCACAAATCTACTAAGTACAGGACCCTGGGAGGCAGGAGATCCCTCTCAGACTAGACATGCGGATATATATAAAGGGGAATTACTTGCTTTCAAGAACCACAAATGCCCCATTCCACCTCTGGGTCTGCAGAAATGGCTTACTATTTTAATGGGAAGAATTTGCAAGTCCTCCCTTTTGCCTGATGATTAGCAAATGCCTCAAATGGACCAATGCCTTATAGGACAATGCTTACCCTGCTGAGCACCTGTTGCCATCTTGCCTGGTGTGAAGCATACTTGTAATCAGAGTCACAGCTCAGCAAACCCAACTGGGGCACATCTGGGCCTGTTACAGGAAGGGAGATATTGACCAAAAGATCTATAGGACACACCAGTATTTATACCATGGAACCCAGAGGGTAACACAGCAGTAAATCCTAAGGGTCCTGGCACAAAGCAGGTGGGGGAAGCACTGTACAAAACAGCCTAAGGGACAGTTTACTGATATATCAATACTGTGGCAAAGGTCTTGTGTTATATCTAACAAAAGTTTAGGATGGTTCAAATGGTTCAGCTGGTTGGCCAAGGACCTGGCTAGAAAAGCAAGATTGGAGGGCAGTGACAAGATCTAGGAAAAAGGGTTGGGGACAAAAGTATGAGTTTCTTTGGACTAAACATCAGCGCCCACCACAGAGCATCCAAAGCCAAGGTGGCACTAAACCAAGTGGACAGAGTGACTCTGAGTAAATGTGAACCAGGTCCCTCACTTGGCTGCCTCGTCATTCATTGCACAATGAACTCCTTCAATGAGTCACCATGGCTAAGAGTGTAGTTAGTATATTAAATGTTCTTATCACACACACAAATAATAATACATAAAAGGGAGGAAGAAAAACTTTAGAGTTGACAGTGTTATGGCACAGATTGTAAGGATAATTTCACAAGTGTATACTGATCTCTAAACTCATCAAGCTGTGTACATAAAATATATGCAGTCTTTTTATGGCAACCATTCCTCAGTGAAGTGGCTTTAAGAAGAGTAGCCATGGCAGAAGACATGGGGGACTAGGTATGGACTCAACAACATGGGAACTTTGCACCAGGCCTGAGGTTATATAGTAGAAGAAACAAAAATCAAACTCAGGATGTTACTCCGTCTTACATATTCCATGCCTCTGTCTCCATCTTCACCAAATTATTTATAAAATGTTTTAGTTGGGTTTGCTTTAAGATACAAGGAAGGCACCATCTGAACATCTGATAATACACATCTTGCACTCTCTTGGACACATTTGTGAAAGCTGATTCTCAGCTTAACCTTAAACATGCGGCTAATTCCCACAACCTTAGCTGAGGTTGCGCCACTAAATAAAACTCAGTTACCCGCTCTTTCAACTATTTTTGTTTGATAACGTTAACATTTCATAAGGTTAAGAATTCCCCTGTAATGAGATACATTTGTGTTGAAAGCTTCTGCTATATTTCTGTCTATAGGCAATAAATTTAAAAAGATCATGGGTCCTAGCCTTGAATCTGTATACAGAATGAGACATGGGGAGTAGAGAGTCTGTTTTTATTAATCATCATTATTCTGTAAAAATGTCAGCTCACCTCCCATTTCTACCCCATGTGGACTTTATCACAGTATCCTGCCTTTCATTAAATGAGACCCCTGCTCATTTGTCCTTATGCCCTAAAATGCATCTGCTGAGGTCAAAGCTAAATTGTAGTGGGGGGCAGACAAAAAGGTTTGCCCTGTATCTGCTGCCCTTGAACTAGGGGTTGAAATGATATCTTGATGAAAGCAATAATGTGAAAGTCTCTGAAAATTGTGAAGTAATATCATTGTTTAACCACAGAAACCCACATTTTAAACCCACCTAGATTAAACCATATTGTTTAATCTAGAAACCCACAGTCTTTGTCTGATACAATTTAATGTAAACTTGCAGCCAAAAAAGGGAAATTAACAGACCTTCATTTAAAATATGAAGGGAAATTTTAAGAGGTGTATATTGAGAAGCAAGATACAATGGGAAATTTCAAAAGAATATTTCTGTGTTTTGCTAAAAATTGAGTACTTAATCATCATCTGAAGTACATTTTCTCCTTTTTTTTGAGAATCATTTAGATTGGTACTTTATAAAAGGTGTGAAATGAAAAAAATGGATGACATTTCTCTATAATTTCCACCAACACTAACACATGTTCAGGGAAATTCACTCCTATTATAAGACATGGAAAAAGCAAAGGTTTTGGACACAGAACTTAGTTTAAGTTTGAGTGTTGCAAATAAATACTCTCTGAACTCCGTTCGTTTCCATTTCTGTATGGAGATAAGTCCACCTTACGACTGTGCTGTGACTGGGAGTTTGTATCCCATATGTGGAAGTGCCTGTCACAGAAATGGTAAGATCTCACTTGGTCTTTATTTTTTCTTGTCTTCCTTTCCTTAATACAAATAAATAAATAAAATCATTACTAGGTTATCAGTGCATGAATATGTGTGAGTTTTGCAACATATTTACAGTTTTCTGAAAACCCAACTGAACTATGCTATTTTTTTACAACGTAATCTGAGGGAGATCTGTGAAATACATTTTATGTAGTAGTGAACTTCAAGTTCTGAAGTTCAGGTGTTGAAACAAACTAAAAGTACAGATGTGACAGTATTTTCCTAGGAGGGTTTGCTTCTTGAGGCAAAATACTAAAATTCAAATTATCTTGTTTTTGTAACAAGATCTTGGTTTGATTCACAATCTACATAAATCATTTGCTTCATATTTCTCATCTGGGAAATGTATACAAACCAGTTACAGTTGGGTCAAAGAGATTTAACTGTAATAAGTGCTAAGAAAAAAATAAGAATGTCAGTCACTTTTTCAATAAAAGTCAGTTACTTAAATTAAAATTCATTTACCCAGATAATTTAACCCAGTGTGGCAAGTAAACTATAAACTTTTAAAAATATTGCTATTTTGCCATTATTTTTATTTTGGATGTTTCTCTTTTACTCTCTTGAAAGGATTTGATCAAGCAGGCATCTGAAAAATATAATCGTCATTAGTTTTGTTGCATCCGCTGTCTCGAGAAACAGAGGTTCGGAGACTTTCAGAATTTTCAAGATGTTACTTTATTGGCCAAGTTTTACCTGTGCAGGGGTGAGCTCTCTGAGTGTCCAAGGACACTGCTCAGGAGAGCTGCAGATGAGAGCTGTGCCCGGCGCTTACAGCTATGTCCTTATATAGGGGTATGCAAGCAAGCTTTGAACAGAAGCAGATGTGGCTGTTAGCTATTGGCTAGCTCTAAACAGCTGATTGCCATTGGCTTATTAGGGAAATTCAAAAGGCTCTTTGTGTAGTTGGCGGTTAGTCTTTTAGGAAGTAAAAATTTCCCTGTTCCTGGTCAGCCTAACTTTAGTTCCTGGTCAGCCTAACTTTATCCGGGGCTCGTTCAGGATTGTCCCTTTTCAACATCCGTTTTGGACCTCAACAAGTTTTACTTTAAGCTCAAGAATTAGTAAGATAGATTTCAAAATAAGTCATTACAAAAAAACACACAATTCAGCTGCTCTAATTCTGATCCTTGAGCTAAACATCAAAACAAAGAAGAAATAAAAATACCAGAGGATATTACTGTCTTGTTAGTATCCCAGTAAACATTACATTAAGTTAAACCAAATGAAAATTTTCACTTTGGGATATCCATGTATTAAATCATTTTGAGAAAGTTTCTGGATCACGGTGTTAGTTTTTATTTTTGTTTTGGTTTTATTTTTATCTAAAAATCCAAACTGGTACAACAATGAGTATTTTAATAGTTTTAGTAACTTACAGAAAAGAATAGATGTCTACTATCTAAATACATCTAAAAATAATACACAGGCCTTGTTTAATCCTCATCTGAGGATGTGTTTGTTGGTTTCAGACAGAAAGAAGAGAAAGAGAGAGAAGGAGAATTATAGATGCAAGAGAGAAATATTGAGATCAGTTACCTCCTGTACGCACCCATCCCAGGGATGGCCCAGAACCTAAGTGTGCACACTGACTGGGAATGACATCTGCAAACTTTTTGGTATATGAGATGATGCCCTAACCAACTACCCCACCAAACCAGGGTAGTAGGTAATTATTCGTACGTTCAGTCAGCTTCTCCATCTGGGCATATGGACCCAAGAACCAAAGAACGTCCTTTAGTAGTTTTCCATGAGTCTCCTTTTCTTCTTTCCAGAGTGAGTTGCTGAGACAAAAATTACTAAAACACATACGACTTTCATCTTTGTTTTGGAATGCATACCTGACGTGGATCTGTTAATGTGCACTTCTCAGATCCTCTTGGGTTATGAACAATGTGCCCTGGAATCAAAACCAGAAAAGGAGCTAAGGCATGCACTTTCTGGTAAGACGTCACAGAATCAAATGAATGGTTAACAGTGAAGATGACACATTAGGGCTTTGGCTCACTGCTTCACATATCCTTCTCATTATTATTTTTTTATTTTGCATTGAGCACTGAGATAAATTCAATTTAGATCCAATTAAATTGCTCAATGTGATAGGAAGCATGGCTACATTGCCTTTCAGATGCTGCACTAAATTTCATGGATAACCCCTGATAAAAGCAATAAGCTCTTGTTTCTTCTTAGTCTTCCCTCTATAAAAAGTGGACAACCCTAGTGCTGGGAAGGAACTGTGTCTGAAAAGTGTGTGATCTTTGGGTAGCAAAATCCTGTGAGCAGCGTGGTAATGCACTACTGAATGATTCATGAGGGCATTATGCTAAGTAAAACAAATGAGCCACAAAAAGACCTGGCAGGGGAGATACCATGATCACAAAGGTGGTTTTCTCAGGGTGAGGCTTATCCGGATGTACTCTGGATGTGCTGACCCCTGCAATTTCCCCTAATGTGGGAAATTCAGCTGCATGATTTGTGGTAGTGGGGGACAACATTGGTGCTCTCTCCTTGAAAAAATACTGCATGATTCCAATTATATGAAGTCTTGTAGGGTAGTCAAATATACAGACAGAAAATAGAATGGTATTTTCCAGGGGTGGAGGGTAAGGAGGATTGGGGACTCATCTTATGTGTACAGTATTTGGCTATTTTTAGGTGAAAATTGTTCTAGCTGTTCTGAGTGTCAACTGATCATTTACTTCCCTTATAGTCAATGATTCAGGGAATTCAATCAACTACATTAGACCTTTGTGTTTCACCCCTGACAGTCACTGCCAAATTTATTTTTCTTGGCCGTCTTACCCCAGGTTCTAAGGCTTTTGGAGACTTCCCTAATAGAGATAGCATTCCTTTTGCACATCATTTCTCCTTTTTCTGAGCCACTGTTTTACTCCTGCATGCACATGGGAATCATGAGGAGAGCTTTTTAAAATGCTTCAGTCCTAACCTAAACCAGTGGAATCAGAAATGCAGGAGGTGGGGACCAGGTCATTTTCATATTGAAAAGCCTTATGAGGGGACTGAAATGCACAGCATGGTTTGAGAACAAATGTTCTAAACCTTATTTACCTTCTCATTTAATCTTACTCTCCTTTGTTTTATTTTCTCCTGGTCTTATAAGAAATAGAAAAATTAGCATTTTATTAATCCATTCTAAAGTGTTAATAATTGCCATCACAGAAAAACATTACCTATTCCATAAAAAAGGAGATAGACATACTTGTATTAAGCAAAATATAGTGACAATTTGTGGCAATTGCTTGTATCAGAGCAATGTTATATTTGGTTTTTATCCAAGTGGAGATTTTTGTTCCTTTACACAAATAAGGAAGAGTTGATCACTTACCTCAACTACGATTAGGCCCACATTAAGCTATCTATTTCACATGTGTCATAGTTCTATTAATCCCTTTGAAACAAGACAAATTAGAATGTCTACACAGCAGACCTTTCAGAGTACAAAGTTCAGATTCTCTGGTCCAATAAATTTAGCTTTTCTGCTATAATTACCTCCTGAAAATGACCATTTTTATTTGTTTGTTTTGTTTTGTTTTTAGCTTGTGAAAAAAACCACAAAATAACAAAACAAAACACACAGTTCTTTGCATTCTCCCAATGTATGTCACCAATGTAGCCTTTTCTTGAAGTACATCCGGATAATAGTGTCCCACAGAACACTCTTCGGGAAGGGCCATAATACAATGACGTAGGTTGTATTCTCTTCTGGAAATTTTTAGGTCCTAACTCCTAGCATCTCAGAATATAACTGTTTATTGATACAGAGTCTTTCAAGTGGTAACACAGTTGATTGAGGTCCTTAACCTATATGACTGATGTCTTTATAAGAAAAAAATCAGGGCACAGAGAAGACCATGGAAGACAAAAGCAAGAGACAGTCATTTGCAAACCAAGGAGAGGGTGCTGACAATGAAATCACACCTGCCAACACCTTGATCTTGGACTTCTAGCCTCCAACACTGTGAGATATAAATTCCTGTTGTTTAAGTTATCCTGTCTGTAGCACATTGTTATGACAGCTGTAGCAAAGCAATATATACAATAAAGGCATGCAGTGTGTATTTTCAAGCATTTGTTACTTTCATGAAGATATGGGTTAAGAAAAGTTTATTAAGACAGCCAGAGACACTTCCAATATCAACAACTATAAGGCTAACACTACTCTAAATTTTCAGTGCACTACAGCCTATAAAACACGGCATTCATTATTATTCCCATACCCCGCTGAAGTCAGAATAGAAAGCATTTTTTTGTCTATTTCACGAATGAGGGAAATGTCCCGTAGAAGTGGAGTAACTTACACGGTGGCACATATTCAGAGTTATGGTGACCACAGTGGAGCACGGGGCCTCTGATTCCATGCCCAGGACTAAAACGCAGAACAAAGTCATTATTACAGAATTGTCTCACCATAAACAACCAAAAAACACTTCCACAATGGCAAATTTATAGCCTACTTAGGCACTGAAGAATCACTCCGGTAAGAATAATTAACAGGCTTCCATCTGCAGGAATTTTTTCGTAGTAGTCATGTATTTCTATGAAAATTAATTAACCACTTATAGTTGAGATAAGAAATACTCTGTAGTCAGATTACTTGCTCAATATGCAAGGTAACTTTTATAATGGAATATTCAATTATTTCTTTGGATGCTAGGAAATATGCAGCCTATTAAGTGTGTGAAGGTGAGAAATTAGGGATATGAGAAAATTGATTCTATACAACATAATGCCCTAAAAAAGAGGAAAGAAGATATAAATTAAGTGTACAAATAACAAAAGAGATTGTGGAGTCTGGAAAAATGTATTACTCTATAACATTAAATATAAACTAGTACTTTACCTGATATTTTGGGTTTTTAAACATATTTAATTCAGTATATAGTACTTGGAAGTGGTTAACAAATTAGCCTATATTTTAGTTAGATGAAACAAAATCCAATATCATTCTAATAAAAAGGCATTTTTACAATATGATTTTTATTACATTAATTCACCAGCAAAATTTATATGAATTACCACTTTGACCATCCTATGTAAACTAGAAATGATCAATAATGCATATATCTACATCTACACTGGTGGACCAATAAAGGCTTTATACAACCTATTAATATCTGGGTCTCGAATTATTTAAATTCCCGATAAGTTTTGAGTCATCATACATTATAGATCTCAACTAATCAATATATTATATGCAAATAAATAATGTTTCTTTCTTTCCTTTACCTGTAAGTTTTTAGAATAATGAATTAATAGGACCAAATTTATTTTTCATATTTTAATGGTTAACATTTCTATATTTTGAGAAAATGCAGAAGGAACAAAAAACCTATAAAACTTATAAATGGCCCTAAATATACCAACTGTCTTCAGAATAAAGATTTCCCTTTAGGTGACTTTAAATCATTCTTTTACTTTCATTGTAATAAATCACCATCATTATCTACTCACTCATGTGCACTTGAAACATGACAGGATGGAGTGTCAGCAACTTCACAAATATGCATATTCTACACATAATCAAAACTGCAACAAAATGACTAACATCATGCCAAAGGGGAAAGTAAGACTTCCAAAAAAAGATCCATGAAGGGATTTGGTTCAGTCATTTTCAACTAGTAAGCAGAGGTTATTTCTAAAGTGATCAGCCTTAATCATGGTAAAGTATTTGCAATCAGCACTGCGCTATTTTTCCAGCCCCAGGATTGAACGTTGCAAAATGCTGCACTCCAAGCCTGCTTTCTATGAAACGTGTTGTAGTATTGACAATTTTCCATCAACTAGTTCAACGAATGTGCTTATGAAGTGAGATCGCCTTTTCTCCTGATTGTCCCAAATTAAATGACACATGTGAGAAAATACTACGTAATTTAGAAAATATCTTTTATATTTAAGTATAAGTATTTTAATTTTGAGACTTCACTGTTCACCACAAATGTGAAACAATCTAAACCTTAGCAGAATGGCAACAAATAATCTGGTACAGAGTATATATATATATATAGTCTGTATATATATATATGTATATGTGTATATATATATATACACACACAATGTTGGTTCATTATAATGCATATTAACTAATAAGTTCTAATAAGTTGAGAATATGCTGACAATAAAATATGACAAGAGAAATGCAGAAAACCCTATTAAATGTGGAAGCAACCATATAATAAATACATTGAAAATACATTAAAATATTTTCAATGGTGGCCTTTTATAAAGATTAACGTTGAGTTTGTTATATTGTGAAATATTTGTATGATTTTTAAAGTTTCTATGGGTGTCACGACATAATTTTATGATCACAAGCACGTCTTTGGACTGATAGCTCTCCTACATACTCCAGAGCACAATCCACTTAAATTCACTGAAGCACTGCCAAGGTCAACCACACCAAACATTCTTCTATTCCCTGGCAAAGTTCCAGTGCCTTAGAAGATATCTTGTGCTCCAGACTTTCTGACTCTTCACTCTGTTCATACTATATGCAAAGAATAAATACAGAATGCAGGGAGCCTTGTCAGAGTCAGATCAGCCAGAACAGCTTTATTTTATTATCTCCTAGTGTCTTTTTTCATAGACCTGTACTAATTGTATGACTTCTCTTGACCAGCATGTAACAAGAGAAAGACCATGGTTGTGCAGTGGGAGAGTCAGTCAGTCACAATAAGAGTTAGATGGACTGAAAGGTGATACCAAAGAAAGAGCACAAGATGTAGAGCTTAGACATAGGGCTTAAACCTTATCCCGACAGTTAGTCACCCACCACACCACTTAACCTCTCTGAGTCTGATTTCCCTGTGTAATTTCCCTGTGGAGAAACAGTGTCTACATCATGTTCATTATTCTGGACCTATCGCCACATGGTGAACACTGGGGCAACTTCATTCCCAAGCAGAAGCAAGCAGCCCCTATAAGTGCAATGCTATCATTTTCCTCTGAAGAAATATAAGACTGATTTTTTACTTTGTTCCTGCGACTGTGAAGATGAAATATGACATTCTGTCTTTCCTCTGCTTAACTTTGCCTTTAAAATATGCATAATTCCCATAAGACTAGTAGCTGATTTCTCAAAACAGACCTTGCAGGCAAGGAGTGGCTGGAAAGAAGTATTCCAAGTCATGAAAGGCAAGGACCTACATCCAAGATTGCTCTATCCAGCAAAGCTTTCATTTACAATGGAAGGGCAGATAAAGTACTTCCCAGATAAGGAGTTCATCATCACCAAGACCTTATTCTATAAAATATTAAAGGGACTTATCTAAGAAAGAGAAGATGATCAAAAATATGAACAGTAAAATGATAAGAAACTCACAACTGTCAACAAATGAACCTAAAAAAACAAAAACAAACTAAGCAAAGGACTAGAACAGAAACAGATTTACAGAAATGGAGATCATATGGAGGGTTATCAGCATGTAGAAGGAGAAAGGAGAATGGGGGATAAGTACAGGGAATAAGAAGCATAAATGGTAGGTACAAAATA